AGTAGATAGTTGTATGTCATAGTTGCACATCCTTCTAGTTGCTGTATGTGGGACGCGGCCTCAGCATGGCCGGAGAAGCGGTGCTTTGGTGAGCGCTCGGGATCCAAACCAGGACTGCCAGTAGCGGAGCGCACGCACTTAACCGCTGAGCCACGGGGCCGGCCCTGGGCCAATATGATAATAACAAATGTGGTATGAAAAGAAGTTGTTTGTCCTCTCTTTTACTCTTAGGAACCCTGCAAGTTGTTCTAATATATGAAAAAGCCAGGGCCATACTGCCTAAGATAATGGCTCAGTTATCCAAATTCACCCAACCAAAGTGAATTGTTTGGGTGAATCTGGCCAGCTAACTGCCAAACAATAGAATTGTCTGTCAGTTGTCTTCTATGTAAGTGCTTGTATAAGTGAACTCAGCTGAGATCAGCAGAAGATCCACCTAACACAGTCCAATCCCAACCTCACAGAATTATGAGCCATGTAATTGGTTACTTTGTTAAGCCACTAAGTTTTGGGATGGTTGGTGGCAAAGCAATAAATAATTTATACCATGGCATATATTTCAAACTTAAAAGGTAGCTATGTAGGTTCCTTTATGTTAGGTTAACATGTTGGCCTTTTTATCTAATGTTGGAAAGGCAAAAATGACATTAAAGTAAATGAAAAAGTCAATTGTTTTCCTATATATCAACAATGAATAAGTAGAATATGAAATTAAATACACAATTCCAGTAATATTAGCACGCTTAAAAATGAAATACATGGATACAAATCTAAAAAATATGTGCAAGATCTATATGAATAAAACTATAAAACTCTGATAAATGAAATCAAAGAAGAACTAAGTAAATGGAGAGATATTCCATGTTCATGGGTAGGAAGATTCCATATTGTCAAGATGTCAGTTCTTCCCATCTTGATCAATAGATTCAATGCAATCCCAATCAAAATCCCAGCAAGTTATTTTATAGATATTGGTAAACTGATTCTAATGTAGAAGTGGAGAGGCAAATGACCCATAGTAGCCAACACAATATTGAAGAAGAAGAACAAAGTTGGAGGACTGATGCCATTTGACTTCAAGATTTACTATAAAGCTATAGTAATCAAGACAGTGTGGTTTTGGTGAAAGAATAGACAAATAGATCAATGGAGCAGGACAAAGATCCCAGAAATAGACTCCCACAAACATAGTCAACTGATCTTTCATAAAGGAGCAAAGGCAATACAATGGAGCAAAAATGGTCTCTTCAACAAATGGTGCTGGAACAACTGGACATCCATTTGTAAAAAAAAAAAAATGAATCTAGACATAGACCTTACATGATTCACAAAAATTAACTAGAAATGAATCACAGACCTAAATGTAAAATGCAAAAACCATAAAACTCTTAGAAGATAACAGGAGAAAGCCTATATGACCTGGGATACGGTAACGTCTTTGAGATACAACCATAAAAGAAATAATTGATAATTTAGACTTCATTGAAATTAAAAACTTCTGCTCTGCAAAAGACAATATCAAGAGAATAAGAAGATAAGCCGCAGAATAGAAGAAAAAGTTTGCAAAAGACACATCTGATAAAGGACTATTATCCAAAACAGACAAAGAACTCAAAACTCAACAATAAGAAAACAAATGACTCGGGGCTGGCCCGGTGGTGCAAGCGGTTAAGTGCTCGCGCTCTGCTGCTACAGCCCAGGGTTCTCCAGTTCAGATCCCGGGCACGCACCAATGCACCACTTGTCAAGCCATGCTGTGGCGGCGTCCGATATAAAGTGGAGGAGGATGAGCGTGGATGTTAGCTCAGGGCCAGTGTTCCTCAGCACAAAGAGGATTGGCAGATGTTAGCTCAGGGCCGATCTTCCTCAAAAAAAAAAAAAATATAAAACAAAAAACAAATCACTCAATTAAAAAATAGGCCAAAGACATTAACAGATACCTCACCAAAGAAGATATACAGATGACAAATAAGCATATGAAAAGATGCTCCACTTCTTATGTCATCATAGAAATACAAATTAAAACAACAATGAGATACTACTCCACATTCATTGGAATGGTCAGAATCTGGAACACTAACACCAAAAGCTGGCAAAGATGTGGAGCAACAGGAACTCTCATACTTTGCTGGTGGGAATGCAAAGTTGTACTCCCACTTTGGAAAACAGTTTAATGGTGTGTTGTAAAACTAAACATACTCTTACCATATGATCCAGCAATCATACTCTTTAGTATTTACCCAAAGGAATCGAAAACTTATTTAGGGCACAAAAACCTGCACATGGATGTTTATAGCAGCTTTATTAATAATTGCCAAAACTTAGAAGCAACCAAGATGTTCTTCAGTAGATGAATGAATAAACAAACTGTGGTACATCCAGATAATGGAATATTATTCAGTGCTGAAAAGGAAAGAGCTATCAAGCCAAGAAAAGACATAGAGGATACTTAAATGCACAGTACTAAGTGAAAGAAGCCAATCTGAAAAGCAT